TCACCCGCCTAAGAAACAGGAGACCTACGTTCTAGATCTTGCTTTGCCGTTTCATATCCGAGACGCCTGGAGCAAGTCACTGAACGTCCCCTTGGCTCTTCTGTTCCTTGTTCCTAAATGTGCATTGCATGGGCCTGTATCGTGGGCGGGGGGCCATGTGCTCAAGGCCGAAGTGGGGCTCACGGATAGACCGGGGTGGGGGCAGGGCACGGGCTGAGCAGAACGTACAGGGCGCTGCCTCAGCGGCCCCCTCCATGAGCGTGGGGACTTTTGCTCCAGACAAGAGCTAAGGGTCCCGGCCGGTGCTTTCTTTCCCAGTCCAAGGCTCTGTTTGGCCATCTGTGTCTGCTTCTAAGAAAGATGTGCATCAGGGGCCCCTGGCTGGCTCAGTCGGTAGATGGTGCGATCCACAATCTCAGGGTTGTGGATTCGAGCCCCACGTCCGGTGTAGAGATGACTTGAAAATAAAATCTTTAGGGCGCTTGATGGGCTCAGTCAGTTAAGTGTCCAACTCTTGACTTTGGCTCAGGTCATGATCTCACAGTTCATGAGTTAGAGCCCCGCATCGAGCTCCAAGATGACAACGCGGAGCCTGTTTGGGATTCTCCTTCTCGCCCTCTCTCTGCCCTTCACCTGATCATGGTCTCCCCCTCTCTTGAAAGAAAGAAAAGAAGAAGGAAGGAAGGAAGGAAGGAAGGAAGGAAGGAAGGAAGGAAAGAGGGAGGAAGGGAGGAAGGGAGGAAGGGAGGAAGGGAGGAAGGGAGGAAGAAATTCATAAAACAGACAGTGGAGGCAGGAGAGGCCACAGCCCCGTGCAATCCCACACCTTCCTATGAGAGAAAGAACGGCAGCTTCAGGACATGGGCTGTGCTGTTTGTTGCTGATATGCCTGTAACTCACCACGAGGCCTTTATGGGCCCTTTGAGCCTCAGTTTACCAATGTGAAAAATGGGAAGAGAAGATCGATCTCCAAGGTTCGCTGGGGCACAGGCCTGGCCATCCCCACAGTGGCCACGGGGGGGCAGCACCTCCTTTGCAAACACCACCTGCCTACTCCGCCCTCCCATCCATCTTCAGCCAAACCTCGGCTTTCCTTCGTGTTTCACAAAATGGCCCCAACGCAGAAGAGCCTTTGGGAAATCCTGGCACTGGTGGGAGACTCACCACGGAACAGCTAACAGGCTGTTTCTAAGGGATATTTTATTGCAAGTGCTCGCGAGCACCATGAACTCACACAACCCCAGGTGGACCGTTGGGATTCCCAGAGCTGCGAGGGGGTCTTCCAGCCTCTGCTCCTGGACTGGCCTGGTGGTGCCCTCGAGGGGGCGGCCGTCCCGGCTGTCTTTCAGGGACAGCGTGCAGCCGCCTCTGTGGCTGTTTGAGGAGCAGGTTCTCTGTCACTGGGATAGAATGTGCCCTTGGAGGCTCTGCCCCTCCCAGGAGAAACCTTAGGGAAAGCAGAATTAACCCCAGCGGTTTACTTACAAAAGGGTTCACAACGACAACCCGAGCGAAACAACCATAACCCGAAAATAATATCATCTGAAGCCTTTTAAGATTTTTCTTGGGTTTGTTTTCATTTTTAAACGAAACTCAGCCCGATTCCTCTTTTGTGTTGTTTGTAATAGGGAACAGTTGGAATCCTAAATTCACAGTAAGCAGTAACACAATTAAACAATAAATACTTACAGTTTCCAGAAAGGCTGTAAAAATGTCAGTTGATGAGGCGCCTGGGGGGCTCAGTCTGTTAAGCGTCTGACTTCGGCTCAGGTCATGATCTCACGGTTCGTGGGTTCGAGCCCCACATCGGGCTCTGTGCTGACAGCTCGGAGCCTGGAGCCTGTTTCAGATTCTGTGTCTCCCTCTTGCTCTGCACCCCGCCCCCCGCCACCTTGCACTCTGTCTCTGTCTGTCTCTCAAAAATAAATAAACATTAAAAATAATAATAAAGAAAAACTTCAACAGAAAAATTTTACCCGCCAGGGCTGCAGGCTGGACCGACCCTTCCTGCCGGCTTCCTGGTGCCTCTCCCCATCTCATGCCGGGCGTCTCCCAGGCGGCTCCGCAGGCCCAAGGCCCCGCTGCCCCAGGAGCCCCTGAACCCCCCACGGTCAGGAGGCCAGACCTCCCAGCTGGGCAGGCCGGCGGGCGGGGGGCCCTGGGGCGGGGGCTGTGGTCACTTCCCTACAAGGACAATTCCTACCCCCACCCCACCACCCTGGCCCCCCATCTTCTCCAGCACCGGCCCTTCCTGCTTCTGTGCCCGGCAAGCTCTCCCTGCGCCCCCCCCCCCCGCCACACACACACACACACACACACACACACAAACACGGGGGTGGGGGGGTAACAGGTGCCCCCGCCTCCTGCGGCCCTCCCTGACTTCCAGGAGTGTGGCACCCACGTGGTAGGGGCTCGGCTTAGTGGGGCCTCTGGAACCCAGGCCGGGTGAGTGGGTTTGGGGTCAGACCCGCCACGTCCTGGCTTCCAGGGAATGGCTCACCCCGAAGCCCCTGCTTCACTGGGGAAGCACACTCAGCGCGGTGAGCACCCTGCACGCCCGGACCCATAAATACCGGAGGGGGCGTCCTCCGGGCCTGTAAGCAGCGTTCTGTCCGCGAGGAGCTATGGGCCTCGGTTTCCCTGCCCCTGATTCGGAGATCAGAGTCCGCACTGCCTGGCACTGCCGGAGGCTCCGAGATGAGGCCGGAGGAACTTTCCGGAACTTCTGAAGCACAACATAGATGTGAGCGGCCCTTATGGTTAAACCGTCCGGGAAGCTGGGTCAGTGCTGAGCCCCCACCCGCCTCACTGCCTGCGCTTGGAGCTGTGCATCCGCCCTGGGCCGTTGTCCAAATCTGCCGGTGGCCCAGGGAGGCCGCAGGAATCGGTAGCAGAGGGTTCCAGAGCGGTGACTCGGCCCCGGGTGACAATCCCTCCCTCCTGCACAACGCATCGCTGCTGAGGCCATTCGGCACCCTCCTCTCCCAGTCCACAGAGGAGCCTGCCCTGAACACACAGCAATGGGCCCAGCTCTGGGATCACAGTTCAGGGCGGAATGGTGAGGCAGCCCACCTCGTTGTTGCCTGAGACACACAGGGTCATCTCAAGCTCACTGTCAACGTCTAGACTAAAACAGAAGATGGCCTGGTGGCTTTCGTGGTGATGTGGATGGAGCAGCATGGCAAGAAAGAGCAGAAGCCTGGGCCTTAGAGTCACGGTGGTGAGATGAGTATGTGCAAAGGCCCTGTGGTTAAAATATGTTTGGCATGTCTGTGGACTACTAGGGCCTGAGCTCAGGGAGCAAAAGGAAAAGATGATATCCAGGAAGTGGTTGGGGCCAAATGGTGAAGACCACAATGAGGGTCTTGGTATTTTGTTGAAGTTTTTATTTTCCAAAGGGAAACCATTAGAGGGTTTTGAGTAGGAATGTGATGTGATCAGATTCATGTTTTTAAAGGAATAAATAATAATTAATAAAGAGTAATGAACACCCGTGCCTCCACCACCCATCTAAAGCAATACATCATCACAGATGCAGTTGAAGGCCCTGTGTTCCCCTCCCCCTCTCCCCATAATGGACGCCACCACCACTCTGCATTTGGTGTTTTTCTCATGAATCACCCTTACGATGTACTGTGCCACTTAAGATTATATGTGTGTACAATCATTTTGTTATTGTTCAACTTTTTATTTTTTTTTAATTAAAAAAATTTTTTTTAATGTTTTATTTATTTCTAGGAGAGAGAGAGAGACAGCATGAGCAGGGGAGGGTCAGAGAGAGAGGGAGTCACAGACTGAAACAGGCTCCAGGCTCTGAGCTGGCAGTCAGCACAGAGCCCGACGCGGGGCTCGAACCCACGAACCGCGAGATCATGACCTAAGCCAAAGTCGGACGCTTAACCGACTAAGCCACCCAGGCGCCCCTTGTTCAACTTTTTAAAAAAATATTTTAAGTAACTCTATGCTCAATGTGGGGCTTAAACCCACAACCCCCGAGATTAAGAGTCCCAGGCTCCACTGACTGGGCCAGCCAGCCAGCCCTGTTCCCCGTACGTTTCAATTACAGGTAATTCTGATGTGAACATTTAAAAAAAAAATTGTTGAAATTCTAGTTGGTTAACATACAGGGCAATATTGGTTTCAGGAGTAGAATTCAGTGATTCATCACTTCCATACGACGCCCGGTGCTCATCCCCAGAAGTGCCTCCTGAGTACCCACCTCCCTCCATCAGCCCTGTTGGTTATCTATTGTGAAGAGTTTCTGATGGTTTGTTTCCCACCCCCCCCCCCCAATATGGTCGTCTGTTCGGTTTCTTAAATTCCACATATGACTAAAATCATATGGTCTTTGTCTTTCTATGATTGACTTACTTCACTTAGCATCAGACCCTCCGGCTCCACCATGTTATTGCAGACGTGGCAGGATTTCCTTCTTTCTGATGGCTGAGTGTCCCACGTCTTCTTTATCCATTCATCTATCAATGGACGGTCTCTTTCCATAGTTTGGCTATCGTTTTTTAAATTTTTTTTAAGTTTATTTATTTATTTTAAGAGAAGGAGAGAGAGAGAGAAAGAATCCCAAGCAGGCTCCATTCTGTCAGCACGGAGCCCAACACAGGGCTCGAATCCACAAACCGTGAGATCATGACCTGAGCCAAAATCGAGTCGGACGCTTAACCGACTGAGCCACCCGGGGGCCCCCCTCCTTCCTCCCACCCCCCGCTCTTTCTTTTGCTCACGCATCGTGGCCCGTGCTCCAGACCTCCCCACCGGCAAGTCCCCAAAGTAAGACTGTCTTTCCTTCTCCCGTATGCTGGTCCTGGAACCGCCCCCCCCCCCCCGATCTCTGTCCGCCTGTGTCCCTGCACGGAGGGCATAGGACGCATATTCGACATGGTACAAAGGAATAGAAAAGAGAACTTTTCAAATGACAAATTCTCAAAGTTATTTTATTACACCCAAATCCCACAGGGAAGTTTTGGGTTGCTTCGTAATTTACACAGACCAACATGCATGATTTGATGGGAAGATCGTTAGGGCTCCGTGTCCTTCACATCTCTTTTCCAGTCAGTCCCCCGGGATGTCCTCTAACTCACCCGCTTCCCTTCTGCTCGGGGATGACGGTTCCCCATCTTACTCAGAAACCCAACAGGCGCCTCGGGGAGCATACAATCCGGACATAGAGTTTCTCGGAGCCGCGGCAGGGTGTGGGCTCAAGGGACGGCTGCCTCGTCCTGAGTACCATACGTTTCAAGCTCCCTACCCTTGGTGGATTTCCTTCCCTTACTTCTTTTCCAGAAGTTTCTTCAAGCTTTCAAGCTTATCGTTGAACTTGGTTAGGTAAAGCTGGAACTCAGAACCTAGAATACATCCCATAAAAGAAGAGTTAGTATGAAAAGGTGGAACCTTTGGCGGTCCTCGTGAAAACTGGGATGTGGGACCGCCAGATGCCATTCCCCACACATGCACTTATGGGAAGGATGTTTGGTCCCTTAGAATGCCGCCCATGTTCCCACCCCACCGGCTTCTAGCATCTCACTGTGTCTGAATTTAGGCTTGTGAGCTGGTAGAATCCAAGGGGCGATATGTTAAAGGTGATCCTAACTCACGGAACTTGGTTCCTCATATGACGCTCGTTAGCCCTTAAGCTGAGGGGACATAGTGTTTTCTAGTAAATGAATTACGAAACATCTCTCTGTGGCCGTTATCTTGTTTTTGTAACTGACCTTCTTTGTCAGGCCACTCTTCATTGATGGGTTGATAGTATAACCCAACGGGGTGGGACCAGGTAGTTATGAGCCATCCGGTGTCATTTTTCCTCTGGTAGTATTGTTAGAGGGGCAAACCAATGCAAGAGAAAACAATCAATGAACCGGGAAGGAAGGATGGGGAGAAAATCACAGAAGGGCCTTTGTTGGTGGTGGGGGAGGGGAGCGTGTATGGAGATTTGAAAGTTTTGAAAAATACATATTAAGTTGGGTTAACACTGGGGCGCCTGGGTGGCTCCATCAGTTAAGCGTCCAATTTTGGATTTCGGCTCAGGTCATGATCTCACGATTTGTGGGTTCAAGTCCCGACTTGGACTCTGCACTGATGGTGTGGAGCCTGCTTGGGATTCTCTCTCTTCCCTTCTCTGCCCCCTCCCTGCTCATGCTCTCTCTCTTTCTTTCAAAATAAATAAATACATAAACTTAAAAATAAAGTTGGGGTAATACTGAGTAGGCAATATTGATTGGAGACCAATTCTATTAAAGGAATATAAATAAAGGTTTCAGGATTTGGGGCGCCTGGGTGGCTCAGTTGGTTAAGCATCCGATTTCAGCTCAGGTCATGATCTCAAGGCTTATGGGTTCGAGCCCTGCATCGGGCTCTGTGCTGACAGCTCAGAGCCTGGAGCCTGCTTCTAATTCTGTGTCTCCCTCTCTTTCTGACCCTCCCCTGCTCACACTGTCTCTATCTCTCTCTCAAAAAATAAATAAAACATTTAAAAAAATTTTTTAATAAAAAAAGATGGGAAAACTGCAGAATATTTGCATTCTTACAGCCACAGAAACAGAAATGAGGAGAGCCAAGAAGCCTGACCCAGTGGGTTAGAGGGTCCTGGTTTGTCTGCACTAATCATGCCTTCTTCCAGCACCCTGGTGTCTGGGGCGTGACCCTCAAGAAAATGTTGTAAATGATGCGTGCCCTAGTCAACCCCACCTTGCGGGAATGTGGGGGAATTGGGGATGGTCTTGTGAACAGACCAAGATAAAGGTACGAGGGAAATAATTTGAGTTCTGCTTAATAAGGCTAACTTGAACCTCTACTCTTATGGGAGTGTCTGGATGTTGCTAACCATCTTGCCCCTCCTCCTGTGTCTGGCCAAGACCAAGTAGGTAATAAAGCACCGAACTGTCCATCGTCATGGTCTTCTCTGTTTTTCTCACTGGCATCACTGTCTGGCCTGGGAAGATGAGTCATCTCCTCTGCCCATGCGTGTCCTGCATAGACTGGCCCATCTGAGCCTCCTACCCTTAGATGACTCTCCATCCATCCCCAGAAGAGATGGACCCGCCCAGAGAAGGAAGAGAACGGGACTCAAAAAATTGCAGAGGATGAACAATAGTTGATCTTACGCTCGTTAGGGAGATTCATGAAGTTGGCTTCCACCACTCTGTTGTTCAGGGGCTGGGTCATGCGGTAGATGTTGTGGAGGGGATTGTTCTGGTGATCCATCATGGAATTCTCTAGCTTCCAACTCTGTAGGCCACACGAAGGGAGTTATGGAGGGGAAGAGGTACTGGATAGTGTAAAGGGGTATATTTAGCAACTGAACCAGAGCTTCGATTTATTTATATAAGCCTGGAAAATGCGGGCGTGAGAAGATCTCAAATCCTGCTACGTGGCAGGGAGAGTATTCATGCTTCCTTCCATCCATTGATTCTTCCAACAACCTCTTTTAATTGTTTTCTGGGACCATTTGGTCACCAGTAGAAAGGAGAGAAAGAAGTAAACAGATTTTTGTGTGCGGGCATCCTTCAAGAGGGGTCTTCCCCCCTTTTCCTGGGTTGGAGAAATGAAGAAGGAAACGCCAGCGTTGTCTCCGCAAACCTCAGTAACATCTGTCCTTTAATTAACCCAACAAATATTTACTGTGCACCCATGCTACGCCGGGGACGGAAGGTGGCGGGCACAGCTCTTCTCCCCGAAGGGCTGCAGGTGTGTGAGCATGGGAAAGAGCTAATGGTGAGGCTGTCCTTGCATCAAGCCACTTATGACGTTGGACTGTTAGCCCTACGGGGACGGGGGTTTGTCTATCAAAGGTCTAGAAGAGTACCCAGCGGGAGCAGTGCTCGGTAAATCGCTGCCTTCTCCATGCGGCCCTTCTCCTCTGACTGGGGTCCAGTCCCAACCTTTTGCTGTATCAATGAGGGCTCCTTGGGCCCCCTGACCCCTCAACTTGTCGATCTCTGCCACGGCCCTTAATAGATCGCCCAGGACAGGACAGGCGAGGACAGTAGGAGCCCAGGCATTGGCATCAAGTGGGATGTAGGGGAGCACTCCTGTTAGCCGGGCGCTCCAAAGGGGAGACGTTGCTGGGGCAACGCCGGGCGTTACCTGTGCCCTGGAGAACTTGATGGGATTTGCCAGCACAAACCAGTTGACGTTCTCGGTACAGGGAGGGGTGGTGAGTGATCCTTTGTAGCTGTAGTAGTCATGCACGTTGTCTGGGAGCATGTCCCGAATGTCAAGGCCGCTCAGAACTGTGCTCTGTCCTAACGGAGGGGCCAAAAGATAAAGGAATGTTAGGGGACTCTAGTCCCTAACAAGGGGGGACAGCTCAGGCTCAGACCTCTCCAAGTCTGAACCTCCTGATTCAGCAGAATAACATAGAAGCTGATCGTGGGAGACATTCACCCAGTTTGCTGCTTCCTAGAAGGAAGAGACAAGACTCTGAGGAGAGACCCGCTCAGACACCTCCTCCCGGGCGAGGGGTGCTGCTGGGTGCCAACTCCCCAGAGGTTGCTCCCTCCTCTGTGAACAGGGAATGTTCAGGGTAGGATTGCTGTGGGGCTCAAGGCGGCCATTGAACTCGCACAGAGGAAAGTACTCACGAGTGTAACTGTCATCAGCACTGCTGAGCAGAGGAATCACTTTATGATAAATGAAAGAGATTAATCACGACTGCTAGGGGCTTCTGAGTAAGAACTCTCGAATAGAGAACAAGATTTCTTGGTTTGGGCTCACTTTGAAATGGGTGGATAGAGGGGCGCCTGGGTGGCTCAGTCAGTTAAGCGTCCAACTTCGGCTCAGGTCATGATCTCACGGATCGTGGGTTCGAGCCCCGTGTTGGGCTCTGTGCTGACAGCTCAGAGCCTGGAGCTGCTTCAGATTCTGTGTTCCCCCCCCGCCACCTCTCTCTCTGCCCCTCCCCACCCCTCTCTCAAAAATAATAAACATTAAATAAAGAAGAAAAGAAGGTGCGTGGGTGTGTGACTGCCCCTCCCCCGGAGAAGCGGGCCGGGGCGGAGGCGCTCTGTGGCAGGTGGAGGGGAGAACTGGGAAGTAAGCACTCGAGAGAGGGGAGAAGAAACGCGCAGGGGAAGATCTTAGGATTTCCGGGCAGTGTTAGTACATGTTCATCTTTGCAGCTATGAATAAAAACAACAGCAGTCAGGTGTCTGTGTGTCTGTCCAGCCACAGCCAGCCATTTGGCTCCGGGCTCTGAGTAGAGCCAAGTGGAGCTTTGCCCGGTGAGCCTGTGGAGGGACGGAGGGGCAGAATGCGGGGCCACCAAGCACAGAGAGATCAAAGGGACAAGGCGTGACGAGACAGAATGGAACATGCGTGGGCTGGAGGCCAGGAGGTCAGAACTGAACTCAGGGAGCTGGAGTCTGGGAGAGGAGGTCAAAGTCAGAAGCATAAAACAAAGGCATCAAAGCCGACGTGGCCGTAGCTCAGGTCCTGGGTCATAGGCGTCGGCGGCCCCTCAGACAAGAATTCTGCCTTCGGGACGCAGAGGAAAGGAGACCAGCCCCACGTGTCTGTGTGTCCAGGCGTGATGGGGACAGACTTCGCTCTGGAGGTGCTTCCCAGCCCGAAGCTAAGAAAGACACCCCTCACCCCCTCCTCTCTGTCTCTAGCGCCCAGGCTCATCGCTACCAGCTGGAGCCAGAGGAGAGAGCCGTGAGGTGAAGATACCCCCGGTCGGTGGCAGCCTGGCCAGCGGAGCCTCCGGTGGTGGGAATCGACCGGCGGAACTTCCGACCAGAGGCTTCCCGGAGGTGTTCCCAGCCTGCGCCAACAGCAGGCATTGCTGGAACGGGGCCCCTGTTCCCCTGGCGGGGCCTGCGCGCCACCCTCTCCAGCGCCATCACCCCGTCTCCACCTCGTGCTCTTGCAGCTTTCGTTGCCTTTCTCACCTGGATGCCTGATGCTGTCCAGCTGGGAAATGAAGCTGCTGTAGTACGTGTTTTCACCGTAATCCTCGACCTGCGGGGGGAAAGGCAGGGCGTCAACCTCGGGAGAGGGGACCTCCATCCGTCCGGTCCCCACCCCGTCCAGCAGTCGGTATCCCTGCGGGTTGGGCAGAGCCTCGAGGGCAGGGGGGACACAGCCCATCCGCATCCCCACTTGTGTCGGGACAGGTAGTCTGGCTGGTCTTTGCCACCAACTGCCTGGGCTCGCTCGTCTCTTCCAGGGGGACCAGACTGAAACATGGTGGCAACTTCGAGGAAGAGCATCCTGGCGGTCACGGGGGAGGCGCTCGGGGAACCGGGGTAACAATACCCCCAGTGACTCTGTGCGGGCAGGGTCAGCTCGGGAGGATTCACTGTGATGAACGGGGCTTGGTCTCATGCGCCCCTTCGTCATCCCCAGCACTGGCAATGGAGCCGAGGACAGTCATCTGGCCGCGGCAAAGCTGCTGCAATTCTGCCCACTGCCAGGTTGCTATTTTTTGCGTGGGTGTTGACTTTTCAGAAGCCAGAAGAATTCCTGGGGCACCCGGGTGGCTCAGTCAGTTGAACACCCGACTCTTGATCTCGGCTCAGGTCATGATCACACGGTTCGTGAGATCAAGCCCCAAGTCGGGCTCTGTGCTGACAGCTCAGAGCCTGCTTGGGATTCTTTCTCTCTCCCTCTCTCTCTCTCTCTCTCTGCCCCTCCCTCAAGATAATAAGCAAATAAACCTTAAAAAACTATAAAAAGAAGTCAGAAAAATTGCCTTTGGTGGAAAAGGTGAATGTTCAATGGTTCTCTTCAGTCCGCGGCATTGATCGATTCTTCTTTCAACTGTGTATGAATTTCAGTTTCTTGGATTTATGACAGCTACGCGCTATTTGTTTTCTAGATGCCTCATGGTTTTCTTGTTTCTCTGCTTCAGCTTTTGTGTCCAACAAATACTTTCAGTGTGCCATTTAACCTTTTCTAATTGCTGCTGGTCATTTCAGTGATTACAGCGGTTCCCCCTTCTGTGAAGGGAATACATTCCAAGGCCCCCAGTTGATGGCTGAAGCCATGCATGACACCAAAGCCTCTATATACTATGCTTTTTCCAATACACACATACCTGTGATAAAGCTTCGTGTATAATTTAGATGCAAACATCAGAGAGCCCGATGTGGGGCTTGAACTCATGAACGTAAGATCATGACCTAAGCCAAAGTCAGGCATTCAACCAACTAAGCCACGCAGGCACCCTTAGCAGACAGGACTTTAAAACAATTACTGGGGCGCCTGGGTGGCTCCGTCGGTTAAGCTTCCGACTTTGGCTCAGGCCATGATCTCATGACTTGTGGCTTCGAGCCCTGTGTCTGGTTCTATGCTGACAGCTCAGAGCCTGGAATCTGCTTCGGATTCTGTGTCTCCCTCTCTCTCTGCCCCTCCCACACTCATGCTCTGTTTCTCTCTGTCTCAATAATAAATAAACGTTAAAAAATTTTACAAAAACAATTACCATAATTATGTTCAAAGAATTAAAGGAAAATATGATGACAATGACTCAGAAAAAGGGAAATCTCAACAGAGAAATAGAAATCACAAAAATGCACCTAATGGAAAGTCTAGAGTTCAAAAGTATAATAAACAAAATGAAAACTTCACAACATGGTCTCAAAGCAGATATGAGGCAGCAGATGAAAGAGTCAGTGCATCTGGAGAGAGATCAAACAAATTACCCAATCTGAGGAACCAAGAAAAAAGATTGAAGAAAATTGAACAGAGCCTTAGAGATTCATGGGAACAAGATCACACAGCCCAACTTACATGTGAGAGTGTTGGAGAAGAGAAAAAGAAAGTGACAGAAAAAATGGTGAAGAAACATGGCCCCAGATTTCCCAAATTTGATGAAAAAAATTAATTTACCAAACCAGGAAACCGAGCAAAGCCCATGTCTAATCAGAGTCAGATTCAAACTGTCGAAATCAACAAGAGAAAAAATATTTTTTTATAGATAGGGGCCCAACAGTACAATTAATGGCTGACTTCTCATTAGAAACAAGTCATCAGGGACCTCTGGGTGGCTCAGTTGGTTGAGCGTGCGGCTCTTGATTTCAACTCAGGTCTTGATCTCAGGATCATGAGTTCAAGCCCTGCATTGGGCTCCATGCAGGACATGAAGCCTACTTTTAAAAAAAGAAAAGGGGCACATGTGGGTCGCTCAGTCAGTTACGCATCTGACTTTTGATTTTGGTTCAGGTCGTGATCTCACAGTTCATGAGTTTGAGCCCTGCATCAGGTTCTGTGCTGACAGTGTGGAGGCTGCTTGGGATTCTCTCTCTTTCTCTCTCTCTCTTTCTCTCTCTCTCTCTCTCCCCCTCTCTCTCCAACCCCTCCCCTACTCACACTGTCTCTGTCTCTCTCAAAATAAATAAATAAACTTTTAAAGAAATTAAACATTTAAAATTAAAAAAACCCAATGACTATTTAAAGCAATCATTATACTACTTATTGTTGGGTTTATTATTGTAGTGTCAATGACAAAAATAGGACAAATGGTGGGAAAGAAATAGAGCTATCTTGGACATTTAAATAAACATTTAAAAATAAGGGCACCTGGGTGGCTCAGTCGGTTAAGCGTCTGGCTTTGGCTCAGGTCATGATCTCACAGTTCACGAGTTCAAGCCCCGCATCGGGCTCTGTGCTGACAGCTCAGAGCCTGGAGCCTGTCTTTGGATTCTGTGTCTCCTTCTCTTTCTGTCCCTCTCCTGCTCACACTGTTTCTCTCTCTCTTTCTCAAAAATAAATAAAACATTAAAAAAATTTTTTAATAAATAACTTACAATGGAATACGACATGGCAATGAGAAAGAATGAACTCTGGCCATGTGTAGCAACGTGGATGGAATTTGAGGGTGTTATGCTGAGCGAAATCAGTCAGGCAGAGAAGGACAGATACCACATGTTTGCACATATAGGAGGATTAGGAGGAAGTTAACTGAGGACCATGGGGGAGAAGAAGGGGGGAAATAGTGGGGGAGGGGGAGGGAGGCAAACCGTGAGAGACTCTTGAATGCTGAGGACAAACTGAGGACTGATGGGTGTGGGGGGGGAGGGGGGAGATGGGCATGGAGGAGGGCACTATGGGGATGAGCACTGGGTGTTATATGGAAACCAACTTGACAATAAATTATAAAAGAAAAAAAAGAAATAAAATAAAAATAAATTACTAAAGCCGAGTCTGCTAACTTACTCTGGGTCCACTCAGAGTCACTTTCTGTTGACTGCACTTTTTTCCTCCTAAAAATAGATCATATTTTCCTATTTCTTTGCATGCTCAATGTTTTTTAACTGGACTTTTTAGATAATATATGGCAGCAAATATGAATCCTGATTTTAAAAAGCGTCCTGAGAGTTTGTGTGTGTTTAATAATTTGCATGGGTTTCACTAGCAGGGTATGTCTCCCCAGCCATGTGCAGAAGCTGATGTCTCTGCTCAATTCTTTTTATTTTATTTCATTCTTTGCCCTTTAAGTAGGATTCACACCCAACGTGGGGCTTGCGCTCACAGCCCTGAGGTCAAGAGTTGCGTGCTCTACCAACTGAGCCAGCCAGGCGTCACTTCTGCTCAGTTCTTACATTTTATTTTCAGCCTGGATTCCTTGGGACCTCTAGGGACCCTGGAACATCAGCATAGTTTTGTGGTCAGTCAGTGATTACAGCAGAGGCTGTGCTCCAACCCCTCGGGCCCATGAGATTTGTACCCTCTGCTGATGGATCTGTGTGCGAGTTGAGAAGCACGTTCAAAGTTCAGCCAGTTATCAGCCTCAGCCTCAGCCTCAGCTTTTACTATCAGGCCATCTCGGGAAGCTTGCACAGCCCTTCTGTGGCTCTCATTTCCAGAGTCCCCCGTTACATTTCTGATGAGTCTGTCACTTACCACTCATCCCAGCCAGGACTACAACCTCAGACTATCAGAGCCGCAAATTTCCCTCTGTTTTCTGTCTTTTCTATCAGGCTGCTCTTACTGGTAATGCCTCGGGGGCACGGGTTTCAACTCAGACTCCACATCAGGTGAGTCCCTCACCCCCAGGCAGTGGTCCTTCTGTCCAGCCGGCCCCAATAAAACTACCCTTCTGACCAAGCTGGAGGGTGCCGACAGGAATAGACCCATTTTTTTTACTCAAAATTCTAGCCATTATTCACAGATAAATGCCTCAACTTGTTGTTTTCCTTTGGCCCATTTCCAGAGCAGGATAAGGATTGTTTTTGACAATTTCATCCAACCTAATACTTGTCTGGGGGGAAATTGAATTCACTGATCACTTCCGGCCACCTAGCCACAAGTCCCGCCCTCCAGACTTTCTGAGAAACGCAGAGAGGTAGTGCCTTTATCCACCAGATAGCTGGTTACCCCTTGCCCTCAGATCAGCTTATGTCTAGTCAATCTCCTGTGATCCTAGGTCTTTTAAGGCAATTGTCTGACTTGTCCAAGGTCCCCAAGATTGATGACACAGAAGGAACACAGCGACTGTGAGCACGGGCTAGAAAAGGGTAGATATTCATTGAGTTGGTGCTTCCAAGAGTGATGAACTTAGAAACAGACAGGAGGGGCTGGAAGGAAGGCCCTTTGTCTACACTTAATCCTCCGGACATCAGCCAATGACTTCACACGTGTAGTTTCAGCTTACCTTAATGAGGGCCGCAAGCACTGCTAAGCCATCTGGTGCGCTCTGGGCTACACTGTAGCTCTTGTATTTAGAATTGTAGTGAACGATATGAATCTGTGGGAGAAAGAGAGGCTAAGTCAAGGGCAGTCTGTGTAGACTTCAAATGCTTCAGGTTTTCAGGGAGGAATGAAAAGAAAGATACTCCACCCAAGGCCTCAGCCTGTCCCACACAAACAACTCTGACTTCCCTCCATTTGGGTATGAGATCTACCCGAGACCAGAAAGTTCTCCAAGAATAGAAAGAGCCATGAGTGGGATTCTGGGAAGATGGCAATTCAAGGGCATTTCCCTGACCCCACCTCCCTCTGGGAAGACAAGCTGGTAGCATCCAAGGGGCTCATATGGGTTCTCTTGAAGATGGCAAGAGTCACCTTGCCCTGGAGGACACTGTAAACCTGTCATCATCCTAAGGACAAATCTACACAAGAGAGACAACCCTGAAAATCCAGAAATTTGGCTGACACTGTAGCACCTGGGTGGTTCAGTTGATTGAGCATCCGACTCTTAATTTTGGTCATGATCCCAGGGTCATGGGATCAAGCCCTGTGTCCAGCTCCACCCTGAGTGTGAAGCCTACTTGGGATTCTCTCTCTCTTTCTCTCTCTCTCTCTCCCCCTGTCCCTCTCCCCCACCCGTGAAAGAAAGAAAGAAAGAAAGAAAGAAAGAAAGAAAGAAAGAAAGAAAGGAAGGAAGGAAGGAAGGAAGGAAGGAAGGAAGGAAGGAAGGAAGGAAGGAGGAAAGAAAAAAAAAGGAAGGAAAAAAAAGAAAAAAGGAAGGAAGGAAGAAAAAGAGAGAGAAAAGGAAGGAAGGAAGAAAAAGAAAGAAAGAGAAAAAAAGAAGGAAGAAAGAAAGAAAGGAAGGAAGAAAGAAAGAAAGAAAAGAAAAGAAGGAAGGAAGAAAAAGAAAAGAAGGAAGGAAGAAAAAGAAAAGAAGGAAGGAAGAAAAAGAAAAGGAAGGAAGGAAGAGAAAGAATGAAAGAAAGAAAGAAAGAAAGAAGAAAGGAAGGAAGGAAGGAGGAAAGAAAAAGAAAGGAAGGAAGAAAAAGAAAAAAGGAAGGAAGGAAGAAAAAGAGAGAGAAAAGGAAGGAAGGAAGAAAAAGAAAGAAAGAGAAAAAAAGAAGGAAGAAAGAAAGGAAGGAAGGAAGAAAGAAAGAAAAGAAAAGAAGGAAGGAAGGAAGAAAAAGAAAAGGAAGGAAGGAAGAGAAAGAAAGAAAGAAAGGAAGGAAGGAAGAAAGAAAGAAACTGGGCTGAACCCGAAGAAGGCTTGCCCCGTGCCCTGCTGTGGCTTCCGTGAGAGCAGGGACCCTGCCTGAACCCCCAGCACACAGCAGGGATCAATGAATAGTTATGAATGAATGAAAAATAAAGTCAACCTTACAGTGACTTGACCATGACACCATCTTTTTGGCTAAGGAAAGTGACTGTGGGGTTTGAGGAAAAAAGGACCCGGCCGGGGTCCTCACAGTACCTCAGCCACAAATCTGATCCCGTCGACGGTGTGCTCGGAGCCGCTGACCTCCAAGGACTCGCCACCCCAGTGGAAGTGCATCTGCTTGGCTATGTACTCGGTGCCGTCGGCGGCCGCCATGCGCATGGTGGGGGGTAGGCTGATCTGCACTGGGGGGAAGGCGAAGGTGTGAGTGGTACAGAGGGGGACGCACGGGTCGCGCAGCTCCCCGGTCACCTGCCTACTCACGGGGCAGGCCAGTACTATGCTGGCTTAGGACGCCGCGAGCGGGGCCGCCCACAGGGAGGAGGTGGCCGGCACTCAGGGCAGGATGGGGGACCAGCCCTGGGTGAGCCAGGCTGGGCAGGCGCCCCCCACAGGGGCACACACCTTCCCACCCAGAGCTGGAGGTCAGGGCCAGGGCCAGCTTGTCAGCCTGGGGAAGGGGGAGGCCCTGAGAAAACATGGCCGGTGGGCATAGAAACCACAATTCCACTCTCCACTTCTAGCCAATTCTGGAATTTTCCCGCAGTGTAGGAATAGGAAGGGGGGCCTCTCGAGACTAGTTTGATGCCTTTTACTACCCAGAATGCTGTTGTGAGGCTAGGCTGAGGTGTTTAAAATCCTCGTCCTGGGGGCGCCTGGATGGCTAAGTCGGTTGAACATCCGACTCTTTGTTTTGGCCCAGGTCACGATCTCATGGTTCGTGAGTTCAAGCCCCTCATCGGGCTCTTTGCTGACTGCTGGCATAGAGCCTACTTGGGATTCTCTCTCCCCCTCCCCTGCTCATGTTCTCTCTGTCTCTCTCAGAATAAATAATTAAACTTTAAAAAGAAAAGAAAAGAAAATCCCTGCTTTGTGTAGCGTTTTGGAAACATCCCTATAGGGCTTCAACACTGTTAGGTTATGGACAAGGAAGTCAACCCTGGGAAGTGGAGAGACTTGCTCAGTGACACAGCTCATCTGTGGAGGGGAGACGAGGCCAAGAACGGGGTGTGGCCAGGACAGGATGTCACCATTACAGGCTCAACTTGTCTTCAAAAGACAAGAGACCAAATTCTGCAGCAAGTCAGGAAACCTACCAACCCGCGGCTTGGGATTTCACCTGATGTGGTTGTCAATGGGTGCGTTCAGATGTGAGGTTCTTGCCCACAGGAAACGGATTGCTCTTCCAGCTCCCTCCTGACCCTACAGGCTTCCCACAGGGAGGCCACTCTGCTCCCCCAGCTGCAGTGTCATTGCACTGTCTCGGGGCTCAGAGACATCTCTGTCTTTTGGAATGAGCCAGGCAAAAGGGAGACCTAAAGAGTGACAGCAGAGAGTGACTAAGAAAAATATCTATGAGGATATAGTTTAGGACTTGGCCAGGAACAGGCAACATCTATTCTGTTAGCGAGGTCTATTTAAAGTCATCAAAGATGGTTTTAAACAAAATAGGTTTTCCTAAAAGGCAAAGATTAGGTGGGGCGCCTGGGTGGCTCAGTAGGTTAAGCGTCCAACTTCAACTCAGGTCATGATCTCGTAGTTCGTGAGTTTGAGCCCCAGGTCGGGCTCTGTGGTAATGGCTCAGAGCCTGGAACCTGCTTCGGATTCTGTGTCTCCCTCTCGCTCTGCCCCTCCCCTGCTCCCGCTTTGTCTCTCTCTTTCTCAAAAATAAATAAACATTTTAAAAAAGAGTAAAGATTAGGTATTTGATATCTGTCAAATGTCCTCTGCTTCCCTTCCAAGTTGTCTAAAGTGTCAGGGAGCTGTGACTAAGTTCATATGTGTGAAGCAAGAATCTGGCCCCAAAGATTTTCACATGCCCTTTGGTAGAGCAGGTGCTATGTATTTAATGCTTAAAATGTGGCCAGCCTCCAAATCAATGCTCACATGAAAAGAAAGAAATGGAAGAGCCTTTAAAAGAAGATGTACAGGGGCGCCTGGGTGACTCAGTTGGTTAAGTGCCTGACTTCACCTCAGGTCATCATCTCATGGTTTGTGAGTTCAAGCCCCCCACTGGGCTTTGTGCTGACGAGTGGAGCCTGCTTGGGATTCTTTCTCTTCCTCCCTCTCTCTCTCTCTCCCTCACCCAGTCATGCACTCTCTCTCAAAATATATAAATAAACTATAAAAAATATTTTATAAATAAGTAAAGAAAATAAAAGATGTACAAAGTCATCTGCTGAGAGATTGGAAAGCAGACGACTAGCCGGAGCTTCCTAATTGGACAATTAGCCCCGTATGAGCGATACCAAAACTCCTGGCAGGTATGTTTCCCTAAAACACAATTCCCTGCAGACAGAGTGTTTCACTCCTCAGGTTTTATCAACAGGATCGCACAGCCTGGGTCAAAAAATGGCAGCAATTCAGAGCACGTTGCTGTGCCTTTGAAAAGGTGAGACCAAATACCTGTCCCCAAAAATCAACTCACTGAACTTTCCAGATTCTGAAAATTGATGTAATTTTTAGCAGAAGTTGCTCTCTTTTATTGGAAACTAATTCAACCAGCTTCTTATCGGGCCCGGAAAAGCACATGACCTGAGCGTTTTCTGTGCTCAAGAAAGGACAGCAAAGTGTTGAAGCCACGAAGGTCAAAGAAACACTGAGAAACTGAGCCCAGTTGGAGGAGACTGAGATATGACGGTACTCATTGCTCACTCACTCAACGCAACACAGTGCAGACACTTGGGAAGAACACTTGGCAGTTTCCTACAAAACTAAACCCATTCTGGGGCGCCTGGGTGGCTTAGTCGGTTAAGCATCCGACTTTCACTTAGGTCATGATCTTGCGGTTCGTGAGTTCGAGCCCCGCGTTGGGCTCTGTGCTGACTGCCAGCTCAGAGCCTGGAGCCTATTTCAGAGTCCGTATCTCCCTCTGTCTCTGACTCTCCCCTGCTCATGCTGTCTCTCTCTCTCTCTCCTAGAAATATAAAAATATTTAAAAAATTTTTAAAAATTAAAAAAAAAGCTAAACCCATTCTTACCATACCAGTATTCATGCTCCTTGGTATTTACCCAATGGAGCTGAAAAGTTATGTCCATGGATCTGCACATAGATGTTTATAACAGCTTTGTTCACAATTGCTGAAATTTGAAAGCAGCCAAGATGTCCATCCAGACAATGGGACATTATTCAGTGCTAAACCACAATGAGCTATCTATCTAGTCATGAAAAGACATGGAGGAAACTTAAATGTATCACTAAGTGCAAGAAGCCACTCTGAAAAGGATTCAGTGCCATAGGATTCCAACTCTATGACATTCTGGAAAAATCAAAACTGTGGAGACAGTAAAAGAATCCGTGGCTGTCAAGGGCAGTGGGGGGAGAGATGAGTGCAGACAGGGCAAAGAGAGTAATTAGGGCCATGAAGATGCTGTATGATGCTATCATGGGGAGCACATGTCATCCCGCATCTGTGCAAGCCCGTCAAATGTATAACACCAAGAGTGACCCCTAAGGTAGGTTATGGACTTCTGGTGATTATGATGTGTCAAGGTCAGTTTACCCTTGGTATAAAGAAAAAATGTACCATTCTGGTGAGTGATAGTGGTAATGGAGGAGACAACGTATGTGGGAGCAGGGGATATATGGGAAATCCCTGTACTTTCCACTTAATTTTGCTGTGAACTTAAAACTGCCCTTGGGGCACCTGGGTGGCTCAGCCAGTTAAGCATCCGACTTCGGCTCAGGTCATGATCGCACGGTTCATGGGTTCGAGCACCCTGTTAGACTCTGTGCTGACGGCTAGCTCAGGGTCTGGAGCCTGTTTCAGATTATGTATCTCCCTCTCTCTGACCCCGCCCCTGCTCACGTTGTCTGTCTCTCTCTCTCAGAAATAAATAAAACATTAAAAAAAAACTCTCCTTAAAAAAAGTCTATTAAAAAATATGCATATATCTTTTAATTTATACCATTATTATTTGTATTAGAAACATAATCTAGATACAAATTATTTATAAATGTGATTCTATATATAGTAGATAAGCCTCAGACTAGGAGACTTATATTTGTATTATAATATAAATAATACCTATATTATTTATAATATAAATTAAATAATTAATATAATCAAATAATAATTATTAAATATATTTAAAACATAAAATTTAAATATATATTCTTATATAAATATCAAAATACATATATAATAAATATGTATATTATATATAACATAAAATTAATATATTAAATAATTAAGTAAATTAAATTATTTATATTTAATTAATAAATATAAATTTATTTTTATTTATGGGGTGCCTGGATGGCTCAGTCGGTTAAGCGCCTGACTTTAGCTCAGGTCATGATCGCACAGTTCGTAGGTTCGTGCCCCACGTCGGGCTCTGTGCTAACAGCTACCTCAGAGCCTGGAGCCTGCTTCAGGTTCTGTATCTCCTTCTCTCTCTGACCCTCCCCTGCTCATGCTGTCTCTCTCTCTCTCTCTCAGAAATAAATAAAACATTTAAAAACATGCTGAGCATAATACTGTACTCAGCATTTAAAAAACTTAAAAAAATTATTTATATTATTTATAACATTAACATTTATATTATAAATTATAACATTATTGATATTATGTATTATATATTTATTTATATTAAAATACTATATTTATATCTTAGGCTCCAAGATATAAAGAGAACCCTACAAAATCCAAATTAACAAATTTTTTTAGTGCTCGCTTCGGCAGCACATATACTAAAACAAATTTTTTTACAATGTTTACTTTTGAGAAAGAGAGACAGAGCAGGAATAGGGGTGAGGGAGGAGCAGAGAGAGAGGGAGACACAGAATGCGAAGCAGCTCCAGGCTCTGAGCTGTCAGCAGAGCCCGACGGGGCTGGAACCCATGAACTGTGAGATCATGACCTGAGCCGAAGTCGGACACTTTAACCAACTGAGCCATCCAGGCGCCCCCAAATTAGCAAAGTTTAATTATATCATCCCAACTTTATTGTTAAACTTATTCATCAAAATGGTATTAAATTTGAAAATGCTTCAGTTAGGACTTTTTTTCCTTCCATAGAATTCTCTAAGCTTAGATCTTGCTGAACATGTATAAGCAATTGTAAAGGGTTCTAAAAATCTTTTAAAATACATTTAAAAATATATAAGTATGTGAGCTGTGAATGCGTTCTGATATATGTTTGATATGATGTCGGGTAGATTGGGGACCCTACAGGCTTCCGGGGTCCAGAGAGCCCAGCACAGCCCACGGGAGGGGGGCCTGGCCGGCTCCAGACGGGAGGATGGGGGGGACGCAGCCTCCGAGAGCCCCGGGAGCTGGGGGCTCCCGACCGCCTCCCTCCCTGGGATCCTCAGCACAGAGCCCCAGGCAGCGGCAGGTAATGGACACAGTCCCTGCTCGCAGCGGGCGCGCTCGACCCGGGACCCCCCTGGCCGCTCTCCTGGTGGGTCAGCCAAGCTTGTCCCTGATCAAGGGCAAAGAGAGCAGCCGAAGCCCAAACTGCCGACCTGCTGGCAGCCTCAGAGAGTAAGTTCTGGAAGCAGGAGCTTGACAGTAATGATAACAAGAGACTTCATGAATTATTTGTGCAGTTCCTGGACCTGAGGCCTCTTACAGAGCTGCATTCTCCTGTGTTCACCACCCCATCAAGGGCGCCAGGTTTTATCTGCTCGACTGTGCGAACAGGAGAGCTAAGTCCCGTGACCCCCAGGCCCCCCAGCGGGTGGACAGTGAACTGGCCCAGCCCAGGTGGGAGAGGGAGGGGAGGTGTCGGAGGACGTGGGGAGGAATCAGGCTTCCAGGGTCTGGACCTGGCTCGGCCACAGAGGCTGCATCACCTCCCAAGGCCTCAGCCTCTACCCTAAACGGCGCCCCTGCAGGGGGAGAGCGGAGAGGGAAGCATGAGGCTCAGAGGAGACGGGCCTCCTTGGAAAATCAGAAAGTATGTTCAGTAAACAGAAAGCACAGATGTTACAGCTGTCCTGTCCAGGCTTCTGAAGTGGGGGTCCCCAAGACCCGGGTCAACCTTTTGCTGTCTGACCTCCACCCCCTTCCTAGAAGGGAACAATACAAAACCTTCTTTTTATTTAAAAAAATTTCTTTTTAACATATATTCATTTTAAAAAAAAAATTTTTTTAATGTTTTATTTATTTCTAGGAGAGAGAGAGAGAGACAGCGTGAGCAGGGGAGGGTCAGAGAGAGAGGGGGTCACAGACTGAAACAGACTCCAGGCTCTGAGCTGGCAGTCAGCACAGAGCCCGACGCGGGGCTCAAACCCATGAACCGCGAGATCATGACCTAAGCGAAAGTCGGACGCTTCACCGACTAAGCCACCCAGGCGCCCCTTAACATATATTCATTTTTGAGAGACAGAGAGAGAGCACGAGCAGGGAAGGAGCAGAAAGAGGGGGAGACACAGAATCCAAAGCAGGCTTTAGGCTCCACAGAACCGAGCTGTCAGCACAGAGCCTGACATGGGGCTCGAACCCATGAACCGTGAGATCATGACCTGAGCCAAAATCAGACGCTCAACGGACCGAGCCGCCCAGGCGCCCCGAGCTTCTTTCTAAATCTCTGAGAAATCCTGGCCCAATTGTCAGACATTTTGGGCCAATCAGACTCAATACCAAAAATATGGAAAATCAGACTACGGCACAGATCAACAGAACACTGGCAGCGGGGCAGTGGCTTCAACAGCACTGCCTTGATCAGCCGCAGCTCCCGCTGGCTGGGCCTGGGTGAGCCTGGGGAGAGCCCCCTCCCCCACCTGTGGCCCCAGCTCCCAGCCCACTCTAGCGTCTGGCACCTGCTGCCAAGTGCCGTCCCCTTACCTGTGTGGCCGTTGTTGGTCATGGGGAACTCGCCTGCCTGGTACTCGTAGCCTGTCAGGTTCAGAGCCTTCAGGAAGGGGTTGTACTGAACCTTCCTCCTCTGCAGGTTGATGGGTGACTGTCTCTTCCCCCCGCAGCTGGGGTACTCCTTCCGCCACTGTGCTTGGTCCAGTGCCCCCTCTGTGACAGGAGACAGCCAAAGGGGTCCCAGCTCTTTGATGGGCTCAGTTCACAGCAGGGCCTGCCCAGCAAGAGGCCAGGATCAAGGGCAGAGGTCTGCCTTCCCGGCCTCCAGGAAGGAAGGGGGGCATTGTCAAAGTCATCTCGGGGGAACCTGGTGTCTGGCGGGGGCTTTGAACTCCTCCCCTGTTTCAGTCAAGCAGCGTTTGGAAAAACAATGAAAGTCATTGTTATAGAGCTTTAGTTTCCCCCCATGGAATGGGAATGCGCTGATGAACGCGCCGGAAGTCTCCCTGGGCTTGGCATTGCTGTGTCACTTAGGGGTCCTTTCTCCATTTGCTCCCAATGGCACAGTTTTCCTTCCCCTCCCCCAACAATAGTGCTGTCCCCTCCCCCCCACTGCAGGCCTGCCCACCTGTTTACCTGCTCCAACCCCTGTCATTGGGTCCCAGGATGGTAAAAACCACTTTGGATTCAGGGCAGGAAGGGAAAGAAAGCATCAGGTTCAAAGATGACCAAAGTGGTTCGTTGGGGGGGGGAAAAAAAAAACAAAGTAAGGAAATGTATCTTTTTTGAGGTGGGTAATAATTCTAGGGGAGAGAAGGAAGAAAGCCAGTCAGTTGCCAGGGGCCGTACCTGCCATTTGCAGTTGGGAATCCAAGCTCTCCCCACCTTACGGGGTGGCTGCGTGGCAGGGGCCTGGCTTGTTTTCAGGAAGATGTTTGTATCGGGGCCCCTCACAGCCTCTCGGTTTTGCAGTGAACAGGCAAGTCAAGTTTTTATTTCTCTGCTCTTTATTTAATACTACAAACCAATATTTAAGGAATTCTTTTCTAGAGGCAGGATGCCAAGTTCAAGGCCGGAGGACCCTAGCACAGCCCCCGCATGAATCCAAAGGCTTTGGCCCTTGTCCCTAGCAGTGTTGCAGGTTTCTGGGTTTCTGGAATATTCCCCAAAGGCATCTGAAGTAGCCACCCCGAGTGCCCCTGGGCCCCTGAGGGCTTTCCCGGAGAGCCACAGTCCCAGGGGCTGGGCTGAACCTGGGAAGGACAAGACCCGCCTTTGGGGTTCTCTCTTGCTTGTCCTTCTGAACCTCCCTGAGTACCAAGGAGCCACGTGACGAGGAAGCCCAGGGACTCCTCTACCTCAGAGTGGGGTGGTTGGTCAGCGTGGGCCTCCCTGTCCTCTGACGCTGGACTTGCTGAGCCTCCCGTGATGTCCCCAATTCTGTTGCCCTTGACTTAACAGGACACACATCCACCCTGAATGTACGTTTCCTCTCGTGGCTGAAGCTGGGGGCACCGCGTGCAGAGTGGGTCTTCCAGCGACCCCGAGTGTCGTCCAGAGCCCCATCCCCTTGGTGCAGTGTGGGAAAGGGGGGACACGGGCAGGAACTGTCCCCACTGCCCCATGGGAGGGGTGTTTCGTGTCCAGAGGTGCAGACGTGAGCCTCAGCAGGGCCGCGGCAACTGGGAGGCGCAGCCCGGGGGCTGTGCAAAGGCAAGCCGAGCAGTTCTGGGTAAACCTCCTACTGTGAGCTCTCCGTGAAGAAAGCTCTCGCAAGCCCGCACACCCCCTGTAAGACCGCGGGGAGCCCTGACAGCTTCATTTTCCACACGCAGAGACTCAGAAAGCAAAGGGCTTTGCAGTCGGAGGCACCCAGACGGCTCCCCAACCAGCACTGTGGCCGGAAAAGGCAAAACACCTGCAGGTGATGGGGGGCGAGGGAAGGGAGAGCGAATTCCTCTTGTCCTAATGGGGGGGTGGGTTCTGAGTTCAGGGCGCTCTCCGTAGCCACGAAGGGCAACCCCAACAGGGGTGAGGGTAACGAGGAAGCGCACAGCCCCTGGGGCGGGGGCTTACCTGAGTAGGTCCACTGGGAGCCATGCTGGACCTGGGTCCCCAGGAGGAGCAGAGTCAGCAGGGGTAGGGGGGCCACCATGGTGCCGCAGGTCTGGAATCAGGCTGATCCCGGGGAAGCGCTTCTTTTAAAAGCTCAGAAACTGTAAATAACAATTTACCAAGTCTAGCTGATTGACCCACCCTCAGCTGCACCCACTAAAACAATAACACCTTCCCACAATGGCCCTTGTGACTCGGTTGACGGGGCCAGGTGGTGGGACCTGACCTTGCCCGGTCTGCGCTGGCGTCATCACCGTGAGCAGCTAGCCCACGGCTTTGGTTGTTCAATGCCCTCACTTATGACAGCTCACCTGAAAGGGCCACACAGTGCACCCTTTGTGGATGAGTGACCACAGAGGGGGAAAGGCCCAAGGCAGAGAGAAGCGGGAGAGGGAGGATTTCCCGGGACAATGGCACTTCCTGTGTCCTCGCTCCTGGCAAGCGGGGCTCTGGGAACGGGTGAGGGCCATCCCCGGGGGCCGGGAAAGCCCTGGATTCCGCTCGGTATTTCCTGCCCGTCCTCAGCAGCCCACATGGGCCCCGCCAGCCCCTACACGCTTGGGCACCGACCTCAGACTCCCACCCGGAGGCCTGTGTTCTCCTGCTCACCCTTGAATCAGCCGTCAGCCACGTCCCCGTGCGTGCCCTCGGGCCATCGAGCTGGCGTGGGCGTCCGTGTGTCTCCACGGGAAGCCTGTGTCCTGACAGCTGCAGTGTGCTCGGTTACACCCAGACGCGTTGGATCAGCCCAGCGCCTAATCCCGCCAGCTCGCACTTGGGCACAGAGGCCTTGACACTTGCTGAGGGGCAAGGGTTTCCCATGCCCTTTGGGGTGGGCAAAGGCCTCTCGCTCGTGGCACCGGCCGGGTACAAGGGTCCGCCCAGCTCTGCAGAGCAGAGCCAGCCCACCCCAGCGCCATCAAGGTCATTCTGCGCCCCTGTCCCTGGGGGCTGGGGATGCTGGTTGGCAACGGGGCAGCGTGGGTTAGGCCTGGTTAAGAGCAAGAGGTTCTGAAGTCAGACTGACAGGGTTCAGGTCCCTGCTCTGATACTTACTAGCCGTGTACAACCTCAAGCAAGTTACCCACCAGCTCTATGCCTCAGTTTCCCTACCTTTAATAGGATTTCACGATAATACCTCCCTCCTGGGGATTCAACAACAAATTTGTGTGTAGTTCTCAGAATAGCACCCGGTGCGTGGCCCTGCCAAGAGGGCCACCTCATAGATCCCAGGAGACCCCGCCTGGCCTGAAGACCGCAAGGCTCACCATTGACCTTCCTACGGGCCAGGGGCCCCCGACATCCAGCGGGCAGAAAATCACACACCAAGGCTCTGAGTGTTTTTCTTGGGAAACTGAAGCGGGACTCTGGGAAAGAGGGAGCACAGAGGGAGCCCGAAAGGTCATAACGTGATGGCCGCTGGGGTACGAAGCCAGGGCAGGGGGGGCAGGAGGGAGAGGGGTGCTGAGGGAGGGATAGGGCCGACCTGCAGAGAGAGGGAGGAAGGAAGGGGCCAGGGGCAATGCGAGGAGACAGGAAGCGCTCAAAGGAAGGGGGGCCCCAGGAGCAGGTGCCCACAGCCGGTGCTGGGGAGCTGGGGGGTGTCTGCTCTTACTCGGGGCTCCACTTCCAGCAGGTTCCCCTGTCACCTAGGGATTCAGGATTCAGGATTCCCCTGTCGCTTAGGAACGCCCAGGGAGCTTTGGCACTTTTATCGCCCCTCCGAGTCCTCAGAGTCCTCGCGGTGAGTGCACAGTTACCTCTGTGAGTTTGCAACTGCAGCAACCTCACCAGGCAGCCCGCACCACATTCATCCATCAGACCTACGTCCCTGCCCTGGTTTCTCCGAACCTTTGCTGGGCGGGCCGGGAATCTGTGCAGGTGGCTAATGTGGACAATAGGTGGGTAGAGTGAGTAATTACGCTAATACGGTGATCGGACCAGCGCTAATGAGGGTGCGTTACTGCAGAAAGAGGGTCCCTCCCTCCCATGTAGCCACTGCAATGGCACAGGCACACAAACAGGTAGGGTTCCTTTTGTTGCCTACTTTCTAACTCACTGTCTTCTTCAACCGTGAAATTTTCCATTAACCTTGAACATGAGTTTCGTCCTTCTTCTATTTGCAAAGCCCGTTGCTTGTTTTGGGTTTTGTGGGGATTTTTTTTTTTTTCATTTTAATTTGCTTTTTTAGCGTGTCACATTTGACTCTGAACTGCTTCTGCCTTCATCCAACCGCGTCTCCGGCTCATCAAGGCTGTATCTTATTCCAAACTCCTGTTTTTCTAGGCTTTTGCCTTGAGCAGCTGTCTGAGAGGAGCTGACATTTCCGTCGCAGCCTCATGTCAAACATGAGAAAGGAGCTTTGTCCTTCCTCGGTGCCACCACAGCTCCATGACAGAGACCCACGGAGACAAAGAAAAGGAAGGGGCAAGGACCTGTGGTCAGCCCAGGTGAGCGGGGAGGTGCTGTCAGCCCAGGTAAACAGGGAGGCACCATCAACCCAGGTGAGCAAGGAGGGGGATCAACCCAGGTGAGCAGGGATGGGGATCAGCCCAGGTGAGCAGAAGGGGTGATCAGCACAGGTGAGCAGAGAGAGGGGGTCAGCCTAGGTAAGCAGGGAGGGCTAGTCAGGCCAGGTGAGCAGGGAGGGGTGGTCAGGCCGGGTGAGCAGGGAGGGGTGATCAGCCCAGATGAGCAGGGTGGGGTGACCAGGCCAGGTGAGCAGGGAGGGGTGGTCAGGCCAGGTGAGCCAATGCTCAGCTTTGCATAAGACCAGCATGGAAGAATGGATCCGGCTACACAACAGTGTACACGTTCTGCTAGTGGTGGTACAGACGGGCCATCATTTTCTTTCATTCAGGAGTTCCAGCTCTGGAATCCTGAAGAATGAGTCCTTCTGGACAAGTGAGCTTTCTAGAGAGTTAAAGCCTCAATTCTGCATAAGTACCAACACGTTTAGTCCATTTTGGACTAAAGCTTCTAAAACGTATCACACACATGCCTGTTTTCTCAAATAGATGCAGCTAATGTAATTAAGTTTTTCTTAATGACAGAGGCTCACTAATCTGAAAATCAAGTATCCTGCATTGTAATATATTAAAGCCCACGGGGCCTGTAACTATGTAAGACTGTTCTCGCATGACACAGCCCCTAACTGTTATATTTTTGGATTTCTGAGATATTGAGGGGGGAAGTTAGCTAGCGTAAAACAACGTACTCTGATGTTCCTGAGTAATATTCTAGTTGTTAATATCCATAAGGCCAGGGCATGGCCCATCAGGACAGAAGTGAGACTTGGGGCTATCACAGGGTCGGAAGCCCCTTACTCTGTCAGGAACTAGCCCTTTAGTTGGTGGACAGTGTGGAGACTAGGAGGCAGAGCAGGGCTGGGCAGCAAGAGCATCGGGGGCTGCGCTGTGAATGTGTTTATTGTTTACAGGCAGCGCTGCTCACAGAGCTTGCCAGCTGTGCCTCTAATGGTCATCTGTTCACCTGCCCTCATCTCCCGGCTTCTTATTTACTGTTTTTTTATCTGGCCAGACATCAGATGACCACACGTCTTAGAATTACATGCACAAGAAGAACAGGAAGACCAAGAGCCAAGAGCCTATACCGTCTGTACTAAAACCAAGACACGCAAACCCTGAAACATCTATTTTTTTTAAGTATCTTTTATTTTATTATTTTTTTAAGTAATCTCCTCACCCAGTGTGGGGCTTGAACTCATGACCCAGAGATCAAGAGTTACCTGCTCTACTGACTGAGCCAGCCAGATGCCCCTGAAACTTCGTTTTTGACTACTCAAAACATTTCTATTTCCTTTCTGACTTTCAGCTACATCCATATGAGTGAAGCATTAACACAATGAAATTGTCTTATTAAATAATCTTCTTGATGAATAGTCAGCCATATCCACTCGCAATTCAGTGGGGAAGCCTGTGAATACTCTCAGCAGCCTCCCTGGAAGTATATCCAGTCTTCCATCTCATCTGTTCCCCTAGAATTCAGTGTTTATCCTTTAGGGTGTCTACCAATAGGTGTTTTCTTTCTTATTTTTTTAAATTTTTTTTTTTTTTGAGAGAGACAGAGTTAATGGGAGAAGGGCAGAGAGAGAAAGGGAGACACAGAATGTGAAGCAGGCTCCAGACTCCGAGCTGTCAGCACAGAGCCCGACGCAGGGCTTGAACTCATGATATGCGAGATCATGACCTGAGCTGAAGTCGCTCAGCCAGCTGAGCCACCCAGGCGCCCCTACCAACAGGCATTTTCCTCCATCATATCAATCCTTCTTCCAGGAACCCACATCAAAAAGCAAACAAACAAAAAAACCACCCAGACCAAAACCCCAGTGGAAATTCTCTTCTCCATTTATTAGTTTAAGTTTTAGCAAAATAGGAACCAAATACCTAACAACACTTACAGCTCAGCTCGCCATCGACATTCTGAGCTGCCATCTGTGTGAACTCACCGTAGAACCTGCTGTTCGAATTGGCCCTCGCATTTGCACCTGCTCGCTGGACCTCCTACTTCTTGGAGGGCAGAGGCCTGCTTATATCCCTTTCACGTAGGCCACCCCCACTTTACTTCTGTCGGGCAGGTACGTGTCTTTCAGCTCCACCCCTAAACCGGTCAGTAATTCCAAATCTATACAGGTCCTGCCTGACTCTCCCCTTATGCCCAAGTGAGTGGTTACGTACGTAGACTGTATCAGTTCCCTGCGGCTGCTGTAACAAACTGCCACTGAGTCAGTGCTGAAAACAACATACGCTATTCTTTTACAGCGGCGCCTGAGTGGCTCAGTCAGTTGAGTGTTGGACTTCAACTTCAGCTCAGGTCATGGCCTCACAGTTTGCGAGTTCAAGCTCTGCTTCCAGCTCCATGGTGACAGCTTGGAGTTTAGAGCCTGTTTCAGATTCTGGGTCTCCCTCTTTCTCTCTGCCTCTCCCCTGCTTGTGCTCTCTCTCTCAAAAATAAATAGATAAGCAAACAAAAGAAAAAATTATTCTCTTACAGACCTGAAGGTCAGAAATCCAAAATCAGTTTCACTGGGTTCAAGCCAGGGAGTTGGCAGGGCTGGTCTTTCCTGGAGGCTCTGAGGGGAGAAGCTGTTCCCTCCCCTGCCCTTTTGGCATCTGGAGGCACTGCTCTCCCTCCTAGGGTCCCTCCAATCTTTTGCTTCAATCATCACACCTCCTGTTTCCTCCTTGGATCTTGCTGCCCTCTTACAAGTCTCCTTGAGATTACATTTAGAGTCCACCCAAAAATTCCAGGATAATCTCCCCTCTCAAGATCCTTAACTGGAGCGCCCCAGGGGCTTAGTCGGTTAAGCAACCAGCTTTGGCTCAGGTCAGGATCTCTCGGTTCGTGGGTTCGAGCCCTGCATCGGGCTCTGTGCTGGTAGCTAGCTCAGAACCTGGGGCCTGCTTCGGATTCTGTGTCTCCCCCTCTCTCTAACCCTCCTCCACTTGTGCTGGGTCTCTCTCTGTCTCAAAAAATTTTTTTAAAAACTAAAAAAAAAATCCTTAATCGCATCTGTAAGTCTCCTGTGACATTCACAGCTTCCAGGGTTTAGATACATGTGAAGGCAACATGCAGCCTACTCCAAGGAAGGACGTAGGGACCCACCAAACTAAATGAAACTTGAGAGCTACTGAAAACTGGATTTAGACTCTAAAGAACGGAGTAATAAATCGGCAATGTCATAGGCGCCTGGCTGGCTCAGTCGGGTAAGTGGCCAATTTCGGCTCAGGTCATGATCTCCTGGTTCTCTGCCGTCAGCATAGAGCCCCCTTCAGATCCTCTCTCCCACTCTCTCTCTCTGCCCTTCCCCCACTCTCACTCTCTTCCTGAAAAATAAATAAACATTAAAAACATTAGCAAGGTCATGAAACACACCAGGCATGGAGGGGGCTGTGGAGGACCAGGATGGACAGCAGCCGCTCTGTTGGCATAATCCCTGTGGCCAGGTGTGTCCCTGAGCTCGTAGTGGTCACAATGGTATGGCCAGAGTCAGCTGGTTGGATTAGCACCGCCACCCAGTAAGCTGAAAAAGTGACAGTAGCACTTTAGGAAAGGGTGTCCAAGACCTGATGTGGTCAATCTGCCAAGAGCAGGCAGGACCCGCACCCCCTGGTATGCCTCGAGGGGACAGAGGAATCACCTTTTGGCCTGAGTCACAATCTGGCATGCAGGGAGCATCTCTGCAACAGAAATATAGTCCTTTGCTTTGTGCTCCACAAACCTCTGCAATATTGATCGAAGAGGGAAAAGGAGGGCATCACAGATACACTAAAATTTTAAATATTTAGGGTTTTTCCACTTCAGCGAAGGAAACCTAACTTATTTTTTACTAACACTTCCACCAAGAAAGTTAGAAAGGCTGCGCAAATCAGGTTTTTTCAAAAAACCTCTTTGAAAGCATCAGAGATCACCAAGGCAGGGATATATAAACAGGGTTTGTGCCAGGAATGCAAGGTTAGTTTAACATTTGGAAATCAATGTAACAAAAAATAGGAGGAAAAAGCATTAAAGGCATTTCAACACCTGTGGAGAAAAAAATCAGTTGATAAAATTCATCATCCAAAAGAGAAAATCAAAGTCCACTTATGATTTAAAAAAAAAAAAAAACTCTTAAGAAACTAGGGGAAAAGGGGGAGTTTTCTCAGTCTGATAAGGAATATCTATGAAAAATTCTACAGCAAACATCATACTTAATGGTGAAATATTGGAAGTTTCCCTCTGAGATTAGGAAAGAGCTTAGGATACTTGCTACCTCAACATTATATTAAAACTTTCCTGGAAATCCAGGCCAGTGCAGTAAAGGAGGAAAAGGTGTAGGGATTAGAAAGACAGAAGAACAACTCTCTCATTCGTAGATGACATACTGGTTTATAAACAATCCAAAATCCAAAGATACATTATATCGGGCCCTGTGCTAACAGTGTGGAGCCCGCTTGGAATTCTCTCTCCCTCTCTCTCTTTCTTGTTTCCCTTTCTCTGTTCGTTCTCTCTCTCCCAAAATAAAGAAATACATTTTTTTAAAAGTTGCATGGTCTACTGACTAAACAAGCCAGACGCCCCAAAACTCAAAATCTTTTTAATTTTACAAATTATATTACTACAGGACCTCTCAGCACTATATTCATAACTTTTCTGTACTACAAATCTAAAATCACTTAAAATAAAAAGTCAGATTTTAAAAGATCATATCCTTTACAATGGCATCAAAAAATCAAATGCCCATGAATAATCCTAACAAAAGATTATTGAGAAAAATTAAAGACAGCAACAAATAGGAAGATGGACAAGAATTTCTTAAACAAGGTATTTGCAATTAATTCATTTATTTATTTATTTATTTTTAAACAAGACATTGTTTTAAAAGATTACTTGAGGAGCACTCAGCTGGCTCAGCTGATGAAGCCCGTGACTCTTGATCTTCGGTTCGTGAGTTCAAGTCCTGTGTTAGGCATAGAGCCTACTTTAAAAAATAAATAAAGGTGTCAGGGTGGCTCAGTCAGCTGAGTGTCCAACTCTTAATTTCAGCTCAGGTCATGATCTCCTTCCTGGTTGTGAGATCGAGTCCCGCATCAGGCTCCACAACTAACCATGCCCTTCTGGCGCGCTCTCTCACTCTCTCAAAATAAATAAATAAATTTTGGGGTGCCTGCGTGGATCAATGGGTTTGGTGTCTGACTTCGACTCGGGTCACGATCTCGCAGTTGTGCGAGTTCAAGCCCCACGTTGGGCTCTGTGCTGACAGCTCAGAGCCTGGAGCCTGCTTGGGATTCTGTGTGTCCCTCTCTCTCTGCCCCTCTCCTGCTCATACTCTGTCTTTCTCTCTCAAAAATAAATAAACATCAAAAAAATTAAAAATAAATAAACTTTAAAGAAAAGATTGCAAAAACAATTCAAACTCTCACTCCTTGGTAGTGGAAGTGCATGAGGTGGATTCAGCCATTTTGAAAAACTGTCAGTTTCTACTGAAGCTGAAGGTACCCAAACCCAATAACCTAACAAAATGCAGACACCCAGCAGGAATCTGGACGTTCATGTGCCAACAGACAAGTACAAGAATGTTGACCCTACTCATTCTGGCTGAAAACTGGAAACGCCTCATGGATCCATCAACAGCAGAATGGATAAATAAATAGTGGTTTTATTTTTTAAAGATTTTCTATTTTTAAGTAATCTCTACACCCAACATGGGGCTTGAACTCCCTACTCTGAGATCAAGAGTCACACACTCCACTGACGAGCCAGCCAGGCATCCCAATGGGGGCATATTTATACAATGGAAAGAATGAGCACTGGCTACAGTCAACAAGGTAGACGCATCTCACGATACGTTGAATGAAAGAAGCCAATCACAGAAGATTAAATAGCAAATGATTCTATTTACGGAAAGTTTCAAAGCAAGCAAAGCTAATATCCGGTGTTGGAAGTGACCAGAAGGGAACACAATGGGCCTCGTGGAGAGCCGGTCGGGATCCTGACCGGGGCATTGACTTGAGATGATTGAGGGGAATATACATAGATGACTCATGCAATCATCGGTGTGTTAAGCTTCAGTTAAAAAGTTAATGAAAGAAAACCATTTGGCCTCTCCTCACAAAGTTAAGCACATGATCCGGCAAT